CCTGTTTCAAACCAGACTGTCGTTAAGTGAAGCTGTGATCTGGTGTGAGAAGCTTGTTTTTATGTATTCCTGCATTCAGGGTTACTTGTAGGTTTATGGACAAACTCTACATTGGAGACTTCTTTTTTGCATGACAAGGAGCCAGAGCTAGAGCAGGAGGCAAAGTGGTATCAGGTAGAAATAGGTGGGGTCACCTCCATGCAAAGCAAAGGGTACAGCAGGAGTTTGGGCTACCAAGGCCGTCGCCATGAGCCATCTGGTCCTTGGCTAACCAAAGTTAAACACGTTTCCATTGGGTGTCCATCATGGTCTCTCCTTGTATCCAATTCTGTTTGTGATATCCATGAGCGTGAGTGTAAGCATCTCGGGAAAGGAAAACGGAGCATGAGACGGGCATGAGTGGGCGCATTGTTCCAGACCAGTTTGGTGAAGGGGGAGCCGACTTAGAAGTCCATCTTCCCTCCAACCCTCACCTACAGGTATGAGCTCTGGGTAGCGGCAGAAAGAACGAGATTGTGGGTACGAGTCCGGAGGGAGCTTGGAGGAGAGTCACTGCTCCCTCGCCGCAAGCCAGCTGGGTGGGTTCCAGCACGTCCAAGGACAGGAAGGACAGTTTCTATGGATGTTATGATTCTAACTCTCCCCGAGCAGACTTTCCAGTGAAAAAGACTTTAAGACACAGCGGGTTTCCTTTTTGTGGATTGAGAGGAGAAGATCTGAAAAGTTACTTCAAGTGAATTCATGATTTAAAAATTCTCAGCAGCTGCTTTTATTTATTATTGGTGTTCAGTTTTCTATCAGTGCCTTGATGGGTTAGTTTTAAAATGATGTTTAAATTGCCTATGGGCAGCTGTACTGTCCTGCAGAGCCTCTATGTGATAATAACACCATGCTCATTACGTCAAGTGTGGGAAAACATTGATATTAATTTCCAAAGCTTTAGATCACAAAAGTAGATGGCACACATTTGATAGTGAGGTAGAGCTGACTGATGCCCCACCTGATTTTATTATTGTTGTCATTCACTCGTAGTTGGAAGAGGTTAGTTTCTCTTTTAAAGAAGAGAGGATCTCTGGTTACCATGAAGTGGATTATCTGCTGAGGTCTGCCTGAGGAGCAAGTGGAAACTGAATTTCTTAATGCGCACCAAACAGGAGGTTTAAAAAAATAAATAAACTGCAGATTGCATTTACAGAAGTGGTTGCCGATGGAAAGCAGTCTTTCAGGATCCGAGCAGAGAAGATTATTAAACCTGAAAGCAGCAGGAGTCGTCTAGATAGTGCAGTGAAACAGAGGTTGCTGAGTAGAGTAGATCTAACCAACCTGACAAACTGGAAGGAAATCGGGGAGAATGTGTAGCTCAGTCAGATCATCACATGTAAAGATAAAGATATGAAATAGTGTCAGGTTGTAAAATTGTGTAAATTTCTGGTTTCACATCCGTC